CATGTCAGCGTTCCGATCTGTTTACATCTGAAGAATACTCTCTATTCCTCTCTCCCCTCCCTCAGGATTACCCTTTTGGGGTAAATAATAATAGAACTGCCTCGGTTATTATCCTAGGAAATAAGCATTGTATTCTCCAGAGCTCCTCGTGCTTTTCTTTAGAGTCACACTCAGGCATGACCACGTGACAGGTGGCCGAGAAGGCTCTGGGGACGAGAATGAAGTTTCTATCTCGTAGTTTCATTTTCCAAATTAATGTAGCATTCTAGTTGTGTGGAATACGTGTATTAAACTACAGATGAAGCAAGAAATAAATAGCCTATCACATCCACTGTGTGAGTTCTGCATGACACTGTAACCCTGTACTTTAGAAGCCTCTAGGGAGAAACACAGGGGCGAAGCCAGGATTTTTCAATGGAGGGTCACACAGTGTCAAAATGAGATTGTCATGGCGTTTTCGCCACCTGTTGTAGGTTGTTTCCTTAAAAAAGACTTACAGTGGGAGGTTGCGGGTACTCCACGACCCCCGTGGCTACGCCCTTGGAACAAATCAATCCACGTGCCGTAGCTGTTTTGTTTGTTTTTGAGCCTATTATTTTTTGCTTTTGATGCTCTTTTTTTGCTGTTAATTTTGAGTTACAGTTTGAGGTTGTGAAAAAAATGTTTTGTTAAAATATTTGAATCTGGTGCTAATCATAGTTTATTCCAATGAAAAACCTAACCATTTTTCCGATATAGTATCTGCTACTCAATATAACTCTGATGTGATCCCAGCGCATGTCGCTTGTAATATACTTATATAAACTCGTAACGGATGCTTTTTTGGCAAGCTTCTCTCATGTAAACTGGCATCTTAAAGGAACCTCATCACGGAAGGACCCCTTGAAAACACCGGCGAACTTTTTAGGCGATGATGCTGGCGAGGGACAAATGGACCGGGTTTGTTAGATTTATCCTTGAATCCTTGAATTTTATCGACCTACTTATTAAATAAAGTATGTATGTATGTATGAATCAAGCCGACGAGAACTGGAAACTAGACATTTGTTTTTGCAATTTCTGGGTATATACACGACCCTTTAGGGGAGTCCGTATACCAAGAAAATAAAAATGACAAGTTGGATATTCCACATTTTATACCATGTCATAAGAAAATACAGTGGCCAACACGTATAATCAATGCAGCGCACGATGGAAAAGTATGGTGTGATACCGTCGAGGATATAGCGGCTTTTCTGTATTCTGATTGGCTGTAGTTCACATTTGGAAAAATAGGTCACATTTGGTAAAATGAATCGCATTTGGAATAATGGGTCACATTTGGTAAAATGGGTCACGAGGAAAAATGGGTCACATTTGGTAAAATAGGTCACATTTGGTAAAATGGGTAACATGAGGAAAAATAGGTCACACGAGGAAACATAGGCACGCAAGGCGTGCAAGAGTTATTTTTTTGTGAAGTGTCGGAAATAGGAGCTTTCATGGAACTGTTTACAGTAATGATTTGGTTAATTTGACAAGTTTTTTTGGTTGCGATGTACAGCAAGAAAGAAACTGGGAATTTATGATGTACATGCNATTTTCTAAAAGGCAATTTGATTCGTTCTTTGATACAACCCACACTGTGATTGGTGTGACACGCGCACATGCATAACTCCCTCACTCACCGGTCACATAGCCCTTCCAACCCCCAAGAGGAATTTCTGCTCAAAAATACTCGAGTTAAGAGAACTTTTCGCATTCTATACGAGTCGTAAGTTTACTCTTTTTACACAACACAACACAACAACACTACTTCACCGAAAAGTGAAAGAAGGAGAAAAAAACCTCTCTGACACGTTGAAAGTCTGACTTAATGAAATTGTACTTTAACTTGGTGCCACGCAGTCTTCAAAGAACATTTGAACAGTTTTCATAATTCTACCTATAAAAGAATGTCATAAAATGCCCATCAAATAAAAATATTAAACTGCTACTGCAGAGACGTAAAATTCGTCCAGAAATGAAAGCTTCTTTTTCGTTTTATTTCCTGGGAACAATAGCTGATAACTTGTCAGCTCTAATTGAATTTACTCCCATATAAAAAAACAAAAGTGTTAAGTTACCATTTGTAACTAAAGATAGCAAATATCTCGTGGGAACAAGTGGTGACGATTCGTCAGCTCTAATTGAATTTACTCCCTTGTGAAAAGCAAGGGTGTCAAATTACCCTTTGTTACTAAAAAAATAAAAATGTCTCGTTATATTTGCAGGCAACAAGAACAAAACAATCGCTATCTGCACTTACTATTGAAAACATTAGAACTGTTTCAAATCTAAATAGTCTCATCTCCTCTAAAACATGTCCTAAGAACTCGAAGCGACTATTCGTGGTCTCTAATTGAATTTACTCCTTGTGAAAAACAAAAGTATCAAGTTACCTTTGTAACTAAAAATAAAGATATCTCGTGCCATTTGCATACTACTAGCTCATGAACTGTTTCAAAACTCAAGGCTGATCTCGTTCATAACTAAACTCCTCAGCCTAACGCACAGAAAATGCCGAGGTAAGCCCAATATATGAATACTTCCTCCTCTTTTATAGAAGAATAAATATGGCCGTTCATAACTGTATCGGGATGAAATCTCCTCACATACTATTTACCTCTACAACAAGAAATTTGATTGGCTGTTTATAGTAGATCCAATCTGATTGGTGTGACGTACATACATCTCTCACTCACTCACTCATCCATTGACCCATCCATAACATACCCGACGCGCCGACTAAGGGGGTATTTTTTTTTACAAAAAAATAACTCAAAAAGGAGCCAGCGCTTGTAGACCGGACTCAAGAGACCGGCGGAAATCAAGCCTAAAAACGGAAATAAAAGCGTTTTTCACTATCACTTCTTCGAGTGCACCCCTAAAGATACTTTGACAGCTAAAAATAGCCCTCGCTAGCACTCTAGCAAAACAACAGTGGTAAAAACGCCTCTTACTCGCGTAGAATACAAACAGGGAAGCTGCAAGAGGAATGGGGATAAGACAGGATACC